GATGCCGGAATGTCCTGATTTTCCTTAGCACATCCCTAATTTAACCGGAGAAATGTTGGAGGGTATGGAATAGGACATCTCCAAGGCTTTATTTAGCTGGAACTCACTGGAACTGAATTACAGCACCCCTCTGGTGGGCACCATTGCCATTTGAAGAGAACAAGGGAGGTGTTCATGGTGAGTTCTGGCACCTCTTTTTCTAGAAAAATAGCCCTGGATGCCCCTATTTTCATTGGAGAAATGTTGGAGGGTAAGATCACAGGCCAACTGAGAAGGGAGGTAGGAAGCAACAGGAGCCTGGGAACTGGTGATGGCAAACCATGGGTCCATGTCCCAGGTGCCTGCTCCAGGGGGCCGAGACTGCTTGGGCCCCCTCAATCTTTTTTATTGACTAAAAAAACCGAAAGCATGTGCATGTCAAGCTATAGCAAAATGCCTATCATGTAGTTTAGCCTGCAAACACTCATAAGCAGGGCACATCACAAGGCCCTGTGAAAGTGTCTCGCTTCTTCGCTAATATATTATTAAATCTATCGTAAATGGCTCCATTTTCTCTCTTGCCTGAGCCACCACAATGCAAGCACATTGTTGACCCTCCGGAGCATAAAGATGGGTTTTGGAGCAACTCATCTTGCACCCTGAGCTGGAAAAGGTGGAGCAGATGCACTCAGATTTTTGAGTCCATCACTCTAGACAGCTTGAGCAAGGGCTTCAGCAAGAGGTCAAGTGGAGTGCAAAACCTTCATTACTGTGTTGATTTCCCACTGCAAGCTGAGACAGCGCCAGGTCACTAGCATGCTCCAGAGAGCCCAATGTTGACCTTTGCCCTGGCATCTTGGTGTCGAGTTGCCATGTGCGTTAACTCAATTCAGTGGCATTCGCTACACAGGCTGGGTGGTGAAATGCGGCTGCTTTAACCCTTGTCACACCCAACAGCAGAAAGAGATCTGATCCTGGCTCATCCATAAGACACTGAGCATGGCAGCTTGCACTTAGGGGTGGGATGAACAGGTCTCCTGAGAGGCAGTTCGGGAGATGGGGTGTGCCCAGGAAGATCTCAAGGTGGCTGGCTGGCAGGTCGAGACTAGAGTACCCTCCAACATTCCTCAGATATAAATAGGGATATTCAGGGTATGGGATTGCAACAGCAGAGGACAACAGAGGACGAGATGGTTGGACAGTGTTCTCGAAGCTACGAACTTGAGTTTGACCAAGCTGCGGGTGGCAGTGGAAGACAGGAGTGCCTGGCGTGCTCTGGTCCATGGGGTCATGAAGAGTCGGACACGACTAAACGACTAAACAACAACAATTGCAACAGCAGAAAGGCTGTGAGGGACACTTCAAGTTTCTGTTTGCACATGGGGAAGGGGCTGGGATGACATCCCCCAGCATCCCTGCTGCCAAATTGAAGCAATTAACATCTGGAAGAGACCTCCCCACACTGCAGAAATAGACATTAATATCATATTTTTTTCTGTGGAGGATGCAGGGATACGTAGCCCCAAGCCATTCCCAGAGGTTGCTCAGCAATTGCTGTGCTAGCTGCCCAGCAGATGCATTGCTGCTGCTTAGCTGGAGGGAGAGGTTTGCACCATCCCTCTCCCTCCAGCTAAGCAGCAGCTGGACTGGCTGCACTGGTGCATTTGCACTGCCTCACCTCGCCTCCTCAACTCCCTTCCAGTAAGCAACAGTGCCTCACTGTTTCAGCAGCATCACACCCCCTCTGGTGAACCCGGCACCGTCCAGATCCAGATCAGCCCCCAACCAGCTGACAGGGCGGATAGGAGTCGCAGTGCAGACCATCTGCTGCAGTTAAGTTCTCGAGCTCCTGAGCGCCTCATCTCGTCACAGGCTGTTTGGCAATCAGATGCTCAGTCATGTGAGAGACGGAGTATCCTGCCTTTCAAGGCACTTAAGCCCAGCGCTTGGCTTCAAGGGCAGGAACAGCGGCCGCAGGGGTTCACATTGCATGGCCGGCAACGGGAGAGGCAGAGGGTTAATCCTGCAGCTGGAGCAGGGAGCAGGAAAATGGGGACCAGAGGAGAAACCGGTGACCCTGGTAATGGCAAAGTGTCAGCTGAGGTCCTCTGATGAGACCGGAGAGGACAGAAAATTTAGGAACAATATAAATAAGGCCCCTGGGAGATATAAACAGCTGCCTGCTTTTCTGCACTGCATATTTCCCGTCCTCATTTCCAAACGCCCATCTCTTTAACTCAAAAGTGTCCTCGTCAAGCTTTTCTTCCTCCACATGCCCCAGATAAATGGAAGCAATAGAGTTTTGCTTTTTTTCCTATTTAATAAGGACATCCTAACAAATAAAGTGAATCAAGCCTTCCTTTGTCCCAGGAGATAGTGGCCAAACCAGATTTGGGGTTTTGCCAGTGGTCCCAGGTTCAGTTAAAGGGCCGCTAGACAAAGAAGAGATCTTCAAATCTCAGGTGCAGTGATTTCAGCAAGCCGGGAGGAGTGTGTGGCCATTCCCTAAGTTAACTTAGAGCACATTCCTGAGGATCTGGCAGCAGAGGGGTCTGTCAGTTAGTCAGATTAATTTGCCAAAAGCCATTCATCATCACACACACACAAAAGATACAGTTAAGTTGAGGCACGTTTTAGCATAAGTAGTCTCAGCACACTGGACCCCGTGTTTATTTCTATTTTATTTTTTAAGCAAAAATTATACACCACTTGATTGTAATAAAACATCGAAGCAGTTTACAAAAAACAAACAAACCCCAAAATCCACACCGTTAAAATTATCAGCGGAAGACAGTTAAAAACAGGTATTTTCAAATATTAAAAAATCAGTTAAAATCGGCAATGAACTAAAAACAGACTGAAACCCATGTAACTTCTACATGATTGGCTCAGCTTGCCTAAACAAGTTTTTAAGCAGGTACTAGAAAGAGAACAGCAAAGGCACCAGGCTGGTATCAAAGGGCAGGGAGTTCCACAGTGTAGCTGCTGCTAAAATATTGATTTTGTACAACTGTGGAACGATAATTATGTACAAACTGGTCCCAAGCTGTTAAGGTGTTTGCATACTAAAAGCCAGCCAAAGATGATTCAGTTCCAGTAACATTAGATCAGCCCTTCGCAACTGTCAAGCATGAGACTTTTCATCTCAAAGTTGTAGGTTTGAGTCCCACGTTGGGTGAAAAAAATTCTGCATTGCAGGCGATTGAACTAGAATGATCCTCGTGGTCCCTTCCAACTCTGTATGTCATGTCCTGTTTATAGTTCTTCCAGGTCAGTGGGAACCAATAGGAAGCTTGGGTCGGCAATGTAAATTTGAAGCCTAGGAATCCTTTAGCTTTCAGGAGATAGTCCAACCCCGTAGGAGAGAGATTGCCACACAAGACAGCAACCACCAAGACTGATGCCTTTCTGCTTCTAATGCTGGCAGCCCCCGACGTCCACCAGACTATAAATGCAGCCTGAAACCCATGTGTCGTGGCAGTTCAGCCCAGTTGTCTTTGCTTGTTGACTTCTCCCTATGGAGATGATACATCATTAGTGGGCAGTGCCTGGTATGATGGGTCACGATTTTATCCAAAGACCAGGATAAAATCCAAACAAAACAACTTCCAGTGTAATGTAGTGGTTAGTGTGTTGGGCCAAAACCTGGCTGACCACTGCTTGACATTGGGCCTGTCACAGCCTCTCAGCCTAAACCTACTTGGCAGGGTTCTTGCGAGGATAAAACAAAGAAGGTGTCTGCCACCTTGAGCTCCTTGTGTAGCCTTATTGGAGTTCACGAATTGTGTCTGTGTTGCTCCCGGACAGGGGGAAGGAAGTCAAATGACGCCGAGGGTTGCTTCAGAGAAAGAGTTCTTTATTTCTGCTCTCCAGAACAGCAGAAAGGCACCTGCGTGGTGTGTCCACAGCATGTCCAAAGAAATGAGACATTTCATGCAGTATATATATCCTCCAGGCACCCTCTCCCCCTTCCCCAGGAATCCAGCCACGTCAGCTTGTACATGCAGGTTGACATCACAGATGTTCCTGCTCCGGCACTCTTAACCATAAAAGGGATTTCCTTCCTGCACTCCTGACCATAAAAGGATATTCCTGTTCCTACTCTTATCTTGGAGCCAGAGGTCACCATTTCCGAGAACACACTCTGGCATTGTTCCTAGACTTGGGTCTGTGAGTCTTTTGTGGTCAGGACGTAAGATAAGGTATAGACGTGTCTGTGTCTGTTCTACTGGTAAAGTCAAGGTCAGCCTTGCCGTCACAAACTGATAAAGGAGAGAGCTGTGTTCTTGTTATGCATTTGCTCAACGGCTCAAGTTTATGCAATTTAGCTAAGGAAAAATAGGGATTTGGGTGCAGTTTAAAACTGCCTGCACAGTCACTTTTGGATTTGGGAAACCCATTCCTTCACTTGGAGGCCAGGGTTCAAATCCTTGCTCCACCACGAAGCTTACTGGGTGACCTTGGGCCAATCACTGCTTCTCAGCCTAGCCTACCGCACAGGGTTGTTGTGGGGAAAGGGGGAAACCAAAAGCTCCATGAAGAATTATTATTATTATTATTATTATTATTATTATTATTATTAATACCCCACCCATCTGGCCGGGTTTCCCCAGCCACTCTGGGTGGCTTCCAACAAAGATTAAAAATATATTAGAATGTCACACATTAAAACCTTGCCTGAACAGGGCTGCCTTCAGATGTCTTCTAAAAGTCAGATAGTTGTTTATTTCCTTGACATCTGATGGGAGGGCATTCCACAAGGCGGGCACCACTGCTGAAAAGGCCCTCTGCCTGGTTCCCTGTAACCTCACTTCTTGCAGTGAGGGAACCACCAGAAGGCCCTCAGCACTGGACCTCAATGTCTGGGCAGAACAATTGGGGTGGAGATGCTCCTTCAGGTATACTGGGCTGAGGCCATATAGGGCTTTAAAGGTTAACACCAAGACTTTGAATTGTGCAGTGCAAAGCATTGAAATAAAAGATGGATATTAATTGGAATAAACGAAACAGACAAATAAGAATACTTATATGCTGCTCTTAATCATTACTTCCCTGCCACTGAGTAATACTCACATTTAAGTGTCCAAACTGGAGCAGTCTTGCTGTGAGTTTGATCACAATGGCCAAGGATGCAGAGAGCATGGCAAGACTGGAGCAAATGTCTAGTATCTGCAGCGCCAGGTGGTACCACTCGTAGCCTGCGGGGTCCTTGCACACGGAAGCAAACTTGCCATAAGGAAAGGGCAAAAGGACCGCATAACCAAGGTAGTTCATACCCGAAACTCCGGCGAAAGAGTAGTAGCAATAAGGTCCAAGAAGGAGGGATGCAAAAGCGATGGCACTTTGAACTGGAGAGCTGATGATGTTCAAGATGCTAAAGGTGAAAGCGGCTTCCCACTGGAATGGAAACAGGAGCATCTTGTCTTATCTGGCTAATGGCAGAGATATATTAGGTGCTTTAGAGCAGGGGTCAGCAAACTTTTTCAGCAGGGGACCGGTCCACTGTCCCTCAGACCTTGTGGGGACGACGACTATATTTTTGGGGAAAAATATGGATGAATTCCTATGCCCCACAAATAACCCAGAGATGCATTTTAAATAAAAGGACACATTCTACCCATGGAAAAACACGCTGATTCCCAGACCATCCGCAGACCGGATTTAGAAGGCAATTGGGCTGGATCCAGCCCCCGGGCCTTGGTTTGTGTTATGTACTTAAGTTCTCACCCTGGGCCAGCAGGGGGATACTGTAGATAGTTTTCACTCAGGTCCACATATGCAAATAAGGGATCAAAAGTGACATTCAGTGATTGGATAGTTACAGAAAATGGTTAATGTTGCGTTCTAGTGGAGCTTTATATGAGCAGGCTGGCTGAACCCTTCAGTTTAGTTGTGTTCTGGCCTGTGAATAAACAAGAGCTGTTTGAAGAATCGCTGTGTCGTCTGATATGTTCACCCACAACTTAACAGTTTGCCTACCCATGCTCATAGGCGCCGACTCCATGGGGCCTGAGGGGGCCCGAGCCCCCTCAAAAATTCGTTTGGGGGGCTCTGCCCCCCCCCATAATTTAAAAAAATTATTACCGTATTTTTCTCTCTATTACACGCAGATTTTTTCTCCTAAAAAGGAAGGGGAAATGTCTGTGCATGTTATTGAGCGAATGTGGGGGGGGGTCCCTGGAGCCGATTAGGGGAGCGCAGGAACAAAAATCAGCAAAAATCAAATCATGCGTTGCGTCGGAGAGGGAAACCTGAAAAGAGGAAGTTGCTGCTTTCCTGCATTCTGCCTCAGGGTCTTACTGCCCACTCGCTTGTGTTTCATTGCTGTGTTTGCTCAAACGGAACAAAGAGCAGGCAAATCCCCTCCCCTCCAGGCAAGCAGAGGGGAAAGCAGAGGTCTTTCCTTCTAATTCCTCTCCGTGCTCCTCGCAGGCAGCCAGAAAACATGCAGGAGAGAGAGAGCTGGCTTCGGTTTGGGGAAACTTTTGCCTTTCCCGGGGCAGGACCCCGGTATGGGCCCCCCCAATATTTTTTATAAGTCGGCGCCCCTGCCCATGCTTTAGAGGATGGTGTGAATCTGCCCTAACCTCTCCCCCCTACAAACCCAGACTCCTTCACAGCAATCTTACTGTGATCCTAGAACAGTATAATGCTCAGTTAAGCAACCCATCTCTCTCAGACTGTGTACAGACTATACTTTTAAAGCACAATGCCGCCCGCAAAGAATTCTGTGCACTGGGGTTTACCCCCTCACAATTCCCAGAAATCATTAGTAACTCTAGGCAGAATTCTTTGAAGAGGGAAAATGTGCTTGGTATGCGCTTTAAAAGTTATGGTGCGTACACAGCCTTCTGTATTGACTCCTCTAACTTAACCAGAGTCTCAGAGGAAGGCCGCCCCAGATCTGCTTCCTGAAGGCAGCTTATTAAAGAAAAAAGGATACTAAAAAGCCTCTGTGACAGCAATACTAATTAAACCCAATCAATAAACATTAACAATAAATGGCAGGGGAAGGTAGCAGTGCAAAAAACCCAACAACATATGTAGTGTTTATGGGGGTAAAGTATAATCTCTTTCTTCAAAACAACCACCACCTTTTGTTATGGCAGAAAAAGAAATGTACCCAAACCTGCAAAAATCCCATAAGGATCATTTTGCGAGGATGGGGTTATTATTTATGCACTTTCCATATATCAAGGAAACTGAAAAATAATTTAAAAAGAAGAAGAAGGTTCCACTAGTTTGATGGATTTTATTGGTTCTCACAACATTCCCTTCTTTCAAGTCAGGAAATATTTCTGGATCCTGCTCAGTCTTGTAAATCTGGTAGAATGTTTTAAAGTGTGCCTGCTTTAAACCTTGTATTCTTTATCTGATCTGTAGCTTAAGGCTACAGCTGTGTGCCTTTTCTTCCTCAAGAGCCTATGCCTGGATTAACTCTGCCTGCCTTCTGCCTAGAATGTGGCACTGTATAGAATAACCACATAAATTTACCAGGTATCTCTGGGTCCATTGTTTTTCAGCCAGAGCAACCAGTACACCTGCAATAACAGCCTGTAGACAGAGGGGGAAACATATGGTTACACATAATAAAGTTAGTAATGTTTAATAGGCCTTTGTTCTCTCCAAAGGACTTTGCAAAACAGACTCCTTTAAAAGAAAGAAATCGCAATGCAAGGAAACAAACCCACTATGTGAAGCATGCAAAACCAGAAGCTGATGGAAAATAATTCATTCTATTTTTAAGACAGCCCTTCTATAGGTTACTACTATAGGACAGATAGATCCTGTTTAAGGGAGTAATCCTATGCATAATCCTATGGAACAACTGATTGGTTCAAAATTGGGAAAGGAGTACGGCAAGGCTGTATATTGTCCCCCTGCTTATTTAACTTACCGGTATATGCAGAATTAATCATGCGAAAGGCTGGGCTGAATGAATCCCAAGCCGGAATTAAGATCGCCGGAAGAAATATCAACAACCTCAGATATGCAGATGACACAACCTTGATGGCAGAAAGTGAGGAGGAATTAAAGAACCTCTTAATGAGGATGAAAGCGGAGAGTGCAAAATATGGTCTGAAGCTCAACATCAAAAAAACGAAGATCATGGCCACTGGTCCCATCACCTCCTGGCAAATAGAAGGGGAAGAAATTGAGGCAGTGAGAGATTTTACTTTCTTGGGCTCCATGATCACTGCGGATGGTGACAGCAGTCACAAAATTAAAAGACACCTGCTCCTTGGGAGAAAGGCGATGGCAAACCTAGACAGCATCTTAAAAAGCAGAGACATCACCTTACCAACAAAGGTCCGTATAGTTAAAGCCATGGTTTTCCTAGTAGTGATGTATGGAAGTAAGAGCTGGACCATAAAGAAGGCTGATCGCCGAAGAATTGATGCTTTTGAATTATGGTGCTGGAGGAGACTCTTGAGAGTCCCATGGACTGCAAGAAGATCAAACCTATCCATTCTGAAGGAAATCAGCCCTGAGTTCTCACTGAAAGGACAGATCGTGAAGCTGAGGTTCCAATATTTTGGCCACCTCATGAGAAGAGAAGACTCCCTGCAAAAGACCCTGATGCTGGGAAAGATGGAGGGCACAAGGAGAAGGGGACGACAGAGGACGAGATGGTTGGACAGTGTTCTCAAAGCCACAAACATGAGTGACCAAACTGCGGGAGGCAGTGAAAGACAGGAGTGCCTGGCGTGCTCTGGTCCATGGGGTCACGAAGAGTCGGTCACGACTGAACGACTAAACAACAACAACACCTACGCATAAAAAGCGGGTATAGAGGATAGCTCAGTTGGTAACGCATTAGGCTCTTAATCTCAAGTTCGTGGGTTTGAGCCCCATGTTGGTCAAAGGTTTCCTGCATTCCCAGATTTTGTGATGCAGCTCTCCAGCCAAATAATGTTTATAGAAATGCATTTATTAGTGGATAATGTCCATGGAAAGTGAACATGCTTGGGGAGAAATACATGAGAAGTTGGAAAAAATGCTTAAAACCCCATTAATGAAAAAAACCAGAGGCTTACATACTGGGCCCATTAGGAAAAGAAATCCCGAAATAAAAAAAAGAATTTTCTTATATGCGACCACCGCAGCTAGGATAGTAATAGCATCTAAATGGAAAGCTAAAGAACTACCTATTAAGGAGGAATGGATTCTCAAATTAAATGAATATTTAAAATTGGCTAAATTAACAGCATCTATACGATAGGAGTCAAATCAAAAAACTAAAAAATGAATGGCAATGCTTTGATGACTATATGACAAAATACTGCTCTAAAAAAGACATGCTAATATGCTTAGACTAAGAATGTAAATGCATCAAAACAATAATCTATCAAAGAGATATACTGGTATATGTATATAGAGAAAATAAAAACAATCAGAATGCAATGATAAAGGTAAAATTGATTCTAGAGAAGACTAGTAGCGGGGGAGGGAAGCTAAACAGTGTGGTGAGTTTGTTTTATTTTGTTTATGTTTCTTTCTTTAGGGATATTGTATAATGATTTAATGTTTCTTTTCTGTTATGGATTATTTCTCTTTCTCTCTTGAATTGTATGACGGAAAATCTATTATTTTTTTTTAAGTGAACACGCTAGTGAAAACAGCATATGAAAAATGCATTACTTTAGGAGAAATTGCTTTCAAAAATGCATACGTTTCTTTAAATTGCGTACAAAAATAAGTTTAGGAAAAGAAATTTGCACCAAACTGGTTGAAGAATCTCTGCGATCATTTTTTGGTAAAGCAAGCAAACCGTGAATTGCTGCAGAAATGCAGAGAACAGAGTTTAAGATTGGGAGAATGAGAAACCGAAAGAACGGAAATTGACTGGTTCTGCCCCCCCCCAGCCCCCGCTGCTGCAGCCCAAGCCTTTGGATGAAATTCCCCAACAGTTTCAAACAGTTTCCTCTTTCAATAAGCCATTTAAGCTGAGGTCTTCCTAGACTGCATCTGCATTGGAATCGTGTTAAATATGCTTTAAAAACAATTTTACTGTAGTATTGCTTGTTGCTTGCCCTCTCCCCCTGAGCTCTCTTGGGATGAAGGGCAGGATATAAATTTAATAAATAAAGTATGTAAGGGCAACGCAGACCCCTGTGGAACTCCATAACACACAGGGTGGAGCACAGCTTCCCCAGCCCTGCCCTCTGAGAACAGGCGTTTGAACAGAGTTCTTAGGCAAAAGGAGCCTGAAATTGAGGTCTTGGCACCATGTACTACTGTAGAGAGTTCCCAGGAACGAAAGCAGAAACATCTGGAGAAACTGTGCTGGCTGGGGCTGATGGACGCTGTAGACCAAAACATCTGGAGGGCACCGGGTTGGGGAAGGCTAATCTGGAGTCACGGGAAAGGTTGGCAAAATTCATCAGGCAGAAAGAGAGGAAGAAAGGTTGCACAGGGTCCAAGAGGGGTTTTAGCCAGAACAAATAAGACAGCAACGTAAGAACACTGGGACGAGCCAATGTAGGAGTCAAGAGTGGCCAAACCTCTTTCCCCATCTGCTTTTCCAAGCGAGACTCCCTCAATTTACACATGTGGTGGAGGGAACAGAGAGAAAGAAAGCCAAGAGGGATTAGTTCATCCTCAGAACTGGGCCAACTCCAGCCGGGGAGTTTCAGCTATTAGATGATCAATTTCAACTTTGCTACAAATGCGTTGCCCAGCAATCTTGTTTTCTCCCCCAAACTTCGCAAAACTGCACTTGTTTACAGATAACGTTGTTGCTTTTTCTCCCCTCGAGCCAGCCCTAACATTTTGTTTTCATCTCTAAACACAAAGGGAGAGGAGGGATCCAACATTGCCTCAAAGCCCTTAGCAGTGTAACATAGAAGTATCGACCAGAACCTGGTGATTGGGTGGGATATTTCAAATCGATATGGAAAATTCGGGGGAGATGTCTGTATGTGCATTCACCCTCTCTCACATAGGGGCCAACTCATGGGGGGACTGAGCTCCCTTCGCCCCCAATAAAATATTTGAGGGGGCCAACCCCCCCCACAAGGTTCATGGACATAGCCATTCAAATTGTGTATATGTGCCTCATCTTGTGATAGAGGCCTATCAATGGCTACTAGTCATGTAGATTACATTCGGCAAGGATTTCTTTCACCCATTCTTGAAATTCCAGAACCTTAAAAGGTTCCAGATTAAATGTCAGCAGCAAGGCAGATCAGCAGCAATGTTACTATCGTTTCCCAGTCATAGGTAAAGGTAAAGGGATCCCTAACCATTAGGTCCAGTCGTGGCCGACTCTGGGTTTGCGGTGCTCATTTCGCTTTATTGGCCGAGGGAGCCGGCGTACAGCTTCCGGGTCATGTGGCCAGCATGACTAAGTCGCTTCTGGCGAACCACAGCAGCGCACGGAAATGCCGTTTACCTTACCTATTTATCTACTTGCACTTTGACGTGCTTTTGAACTGCTAGGTGGGCAGGAGCAGGGACTGAGCAACAGGAGCTCACCCCATCGCAGGGATTCGAACCGCCGACCTTCTGATCGGCAAGTCCTAGGCTCTGTGGTTTAACCCACAGCACCACCTGCATCCCTTCCCAGGCGTACAGCTATATAAATTTAGATATAATTCAGTTCTGCCTACCAAAGCTCCGCTCCAGATGGGAGAAGCAATGCGAACACTCCATCCGGCAAACCATGGTTTATAGGAAAAAACAGGGAAGAAGGCGATAATTCCAGAGACAATGCTTAGAATCCCAAAGGAAATCAGCATTCTTCCAGTCACCACAAAAAGGCAGCCTGCGTTCATTATGAGCGTCTCGCTCTCTGCCTGCTCTCTACTCACACCAAGGTTTTACAATAGGAGCCTGGGCACACCACATACTGTCTTGGAGACAGTAGTCATGATACTTTTCCGTTGTTTGCTTCCTTGAATGAAACACGCCCTAGGCATTGAAAAAGATTCAGACAGCAAGGCCTCTTAGTACACCCTATAAGGAATGTGATCCATCCCTTGGGCTCTACTTTGTGTCTGGGGGTGGGATTCCCACAGAGAGTGTAGCAGACCCTCCAAGTGTCCCTATTTTCCAGGGACAGTCCTGGATTTACAGAAGCTGCCCCGGTTTCTCATTTGTTCCTGGAATGTCCTGCTTTTCCTTAGGACGGCCCTATTTTCATTGGAGATATGTCGGAGAGCATGGAGTTATGTGACCCCCGAGCCAAGGAGATAAGTAATTTTTGTTGTTGTTTAGTCGTTTAGTTGTGTCCGACTCTTCGTGATCCCATGGACCAGAGCACGCCAGGCGCTCCTGTCTTCCACTGCCTCCCGCAGTTTGGTCCAACTCATGCTGGTTGCTTCGAGAACACTGTCCAACCATCTCGTCCTCTTTCGTCCCCTTCTCCTTGTGCCCTCAATCTTTCCCAACATCAGGGTCTTTTCTAGGCAGTCTTCTCTTCTCATGAGGTGGCCAAAGTATTGGATCCTCAGCTTCAGAATCTGTCCTTTCAGTGAACACTCGGGGCTGATTTCCTTCAGAATCGATAGGTTTGATCTTCTTGCTCTCAAGAGTCTCCTCCAGCACCATAATTCAAAAGCATCCATTCTTCGGCGATCAGCCTTCTTTATGGTCCAGCTCTCACTTCCATACATCACTACTGGGAAAACCATAGCTTTAACTATACGGACCTTTATTGGCAAGGTGATGTCTCTGCTTTTTAAGATGCTGTCTAGGTTTGTCATTGCTTTTCTCCCAAGAAGCAGGCGTCTTTTAATTTCGTGACTGCTAGTAACTATACAACCTTTAGAAGGCATCTGAAGGCAGCCCTGGGTAGGGAAGTTTTTAAATGTTTAGTGTTTTAAATATTATATGTTGAAAGCCGGGCAACCCAATCAGATGGGGGTATTATTATTATTATTATTATTATTATTATTATTATATGGGACCAGTGCTTTCCCCCCTAAAAAATGTTTAGGGGTACTCTCATTTTCCTACTCATATTGAAATACTGCCCCTCAATGAGGCCAAACTTAGACCCACAAAATGTTTAGGGGTATGCGTACCCCTGCGTACCCCCAGGGGGGGGGAAGCACTGAATAGGACATCCATATTTTCTTTGCTGGTTGGACAGTGTTCTCGAAGCTACAAACATGAGTCTGACCAAACTGCGGGAGGCACTGGAAGACAGGAGTGTCTGGTGTGCTCTGGTCCATGGGGTCACGAAGAGTCGGACACGACTAAACGACTAAACAACAACAAATTTTCTTTGGAGAAGTGTTGGAGGCTATGGTGTTCCATTGACCTTCAGTCAGGATGTTTTTGCTGCCAGATAATTCAATGAAAGTGAGGCTTCTCTTTGTCCTTCACAGAATATTCAATGCCACGCTCCCCTTCCAGGTTATCCATGCACACAGGGATCTGGAGGCAAGGAAGCTGCTGAATGCATCCATGTGGGGTTAAGTCCAGTACAGAAAAGCTTCTTCACACACGAGGCGTGGAAGACCCTCACAATCACGGCAAGGCCCACGCTCATTATGGCATGTTTGGCATTATCATATGCATACTTGAGATCTGCTGGGAAATAGAAATAGGGACGTGTTTAGTAGCAGCAGCAGCAGCAATAATAATAATAATAATAATAATAATAATAATAATAATAATAATTTATTATTTGTACCCCGCCCATCTGGCTGGGTTTCCCCAGCCACTCTGGGCAGCTTCCAACAAAGATTTAAAACACATTAAAAACTTCCCTGAACAGGGCTGCCTTCAGATGTCTTCTAAATGTCAAGTAGTTGTGGCATTGAATATTCAATGTAGTTGTTTATCTCTTTGACATCTGATAGGACTGTGTTCCACAGGGCGGGCGCCACTACCGAGAAGGCCCTCTGCCTGGTTCCCTGTAGCTTTGCTTCTTGCAATGAGGGAACAGCCAGAAGGCCCTTGGCGCTGGACCTCAGTGTCTGGGCAGAACGATGGGGGTGGAGACGCTCCTTCAGGTATACTGAGCCGAGGCCGTTCAGGGCTTTAAAGGTCAACACCAGCACTTTGAATTGTGCTCGGAAACGTACTGGGAGCCAATGTAGGTCTTTCAAGACCGGTGTTATGTGGTCTCGGCGGCCGCCCCCAGTCACCAGTTTAGCTGCCGCATTCTGGATTATGCCCCATGGGCAGCTCAAGGTGGGTCTAGTGTTGGAAGTACAACAGCAAGGACCATCTAGTCTGTAACTTGGGGGTAATTCTGCTATTGGTCTGTCTGACAGCAGATTGGCATAAAGTTATGGTCAGTTGGGAATTAGCTGTCAATGAGGAAGACAGTTGAGATTTAACAGCTGGAGGATTTGGGGTCGGGGAGTGGTTCTGAACTAGTTTTCTTCCTGCGTAGGCCTGACCTAAGAAAGAAAAACCTTTTGGTTTATTCCTCCATGTGTTATATGCTGTTTTTGTTCAGTTTACGTCAGGGAAGTATTATCAGTTTCTTTTCTCCCCGCACTCCATCTGCTTTATCCCAGTCACTCTGCTAATACCTAAATGGGTTGCGTTCAAAGTGTTTTTGTAAAATCCGGTTTTGTTTTCGAACTGCAAATGCAACCCGCCCCCCCCCCCAATACGTCATTTAGGTGATGATTAAAAAGCTCCTCAGGCAGCAGAGCACCATCAGAAATACTATCATTCCAGCTTGGTTCAAATAAGGGTTAACACAAATTCCAAATGGAAATGGAAATCGTAACATTAATAGAATCAGGATGTTTGGACCATGTGTTCAGCTCTTGAGTTACAAATAATTTAAGATTACTAGTGAAAAGCAATGAACTTAAGACACAGTCATCCTTAACTTGGCTGATTTATTGTGTAAACCTTTTTGCCCATTTTCCCAAGAGGAGTGACCACTTCCTGGTGTACACAGAGTTATTGACACTCTGGCTGAGTCACAGCCATTGTTTCCAATTATGCTCTGCGGAGCTAAGATGAAAAACCAACATCCTATGTATCCAAATAAGCCAATAATACTGACTGACAGAAAAGCAGGAATATGAAAGTATGTTCTCAGCTTGAGATAGCACTGGCTTGTCGTTATTAAATATAAAAGCTTGGTTAAGGGAGCCTCAGAGGGAATGTTGCTTTCTCGTATTTTATGTTTACCGCCGGCTGTCTCTGCTCAATACATGAAGGATTCTTCTTTGGGCCTTAGAGATGTGAAAGCCAGAGGGCGGAATGGGGTGTGGAACGGGACATATTTTTCCATGGCTTCAAAATTTCCAGAAGTGTTGCATCTCTATTTGGGCCAACATCAAAATTCATCTAGAGCAGCTTTCCCTGGCATGGCTCTTGCCAGATGTTTTGGACTACAGTTCCCATCAGCCTCAGCCAGCACGAGAAGCGGAGAACAAGGCTTCTGTAAACATCTCATTGCTGCAAAGTGGGGAATTATGGCAGGCGCCGCAGCAGAGATAAGCTGTAGTTCCTGAAATTCTCTCTCAAGAGCCCCGTCCGCCTGCGGTTCTGCTCAGAAGCTCTTAAAGTCTAGGGCTTGGCCTTGGCCTGGATTCAAGTAGGCCGGAGCCTAGAAGGAAATGTGGGTCTTGTGTTGGGAAAATGTTCCACCGCCCCTGCTTTTGAGAAGGAGCAGGCTCGTGTCACCCCCTGGGCCAGCCTGCAGAAGGGATGCAGACCCTTCAGGTGTAGCTGGACTACAAATCCCATCATCCTTGCTTTCTGGCCACGCTGCCTGGAGCAGATGGGTTGGAACAGTGATGGGGGATGGAAAGGCTCAGGTTCAGTTCTTGGGTTAAAAGTATCTCCGGGCATAAGGAACCTGTGTTGCTGGACTGGTAACTCCCATGCGTCGGCCCATGATAGGAGCTGTAGTCCTACAAACTTCTGGAAGGCCACAGGTTGCTCATGCATGCCTGTGGTAGATCCTAATTTACAGATCTCTTGTTCTCCTTCTGACAACGTAAGTGTTAAGTTGTGGGTGAACATATCAGACAACACAGCGATTCTTCAAACAGCTCTTGTTTATTCAGAGGCCAGAACAGAACTGAACTGAAGGGTTCAGTCAGCCTGCTTATATAGAGCTCCAGTACAACGTAACTGTCGGGACGCGGGTGGCGCTGTGGGTAAAAGCCTCAGCGCCTATGGCTTGCCGATCGAAAGGTCGGCGGTTCGAATCCCTGTGGCGGGGTGCGCTCCCGTTGCTTGGTCCCAGCGCCTGCCAACCTAGCAGTTCGAAAGCACCCCCGGGTGCAAGTAGATAAATAGGGACCGCTTACTGGCGGGAAGGTAAACGGCGTTTCCGTGTGCTGCGCTGGCTCGCCAGATGCAGCTTTGTCACGCTGGCCACGTGACCCGGAAGTGTCTCCGGACAGCGCTGGCCCCCGGGCTCTTGAGTGAGATGGGCGCACAACCCCAGAGTCTGTCAAGACTGGCCCGTACGGGCAGGGGTACCTTTACCTTTACCTTACAATGTAACTGTCGCAACTTTCTAAAACTATCCAATCACTGAACGTCACTTTCGAGCCCTTATTTGCATAACTATCTACAGTATCCCCCTGCTGGCCCAGGGTGAGAACTTCAGTACATAACAATAAGAGCCCAACTAGATCAGCCCAAAGGCCTAGCAGCTCCAGCCCTGTAATAGCCTTCAAAAGGCCTATGCTCCGTGAATTTGTCTAACGATGGGAATTATAGTTCCAAAACATTTAGAGGGCCACAGAATGCATGCCCCTGGTCTACTGGGATTTTATCTCCCAATGCTTCAAACACCACACATATTTAAAGTGCATACCTTCCCCTCCCCTGAGAATCCTGG